TTCTGAATGCAGATATGGTATACCAACTCATATAACATAGGCAACCTGCTGAAGAACAAAGTTTACAAGCTAAGGAACCAACACACCAAAAATGACCATCAAACTCCAAAAAGAGAGAGAGGAGTGTACAGATACAATGAACAAATGAATATGATGTCATGTTTTTTTATTGAATAATATAAAAACACTCCTCCCAGTCTGGACAGCCAATTCATGGAAAAAACATCAAGACTTTGGCAGAAAATATCAACACTGAACTGTGTGCATGGATCTCATTTGATTGATTGCCAAATCCCTGAGAGCCAGATTATTTATGCTTTTTTAAGGAGAACAATGAAATAGGACTAGTAGGGTGTGAGAAATCCAGACATGAAGGAGGAGGTCCTGGTGTAAGTGTATGCTGAAAGTCCTTGGAGTGAATGTAGAGAAATTGGATAGAAATGTTGAAAACTTAGCATACAGCCAACAATAAGAAGCACAATGGAAGATGAGGTGGCCCTTTTGATGAACCTTGGTCCATGTCACTCTGACAAAATGTATAGTATGCACCTTATCTTCAAAAGTGTGAAAGGTGACATGGCCAAGTGGTCTAAGGCACTAGAATCAGCTTCTTTACCTATCTAGTCTTCAGGGAAATGAGGTCAAATCTCACTGTTGTCAGTTAAAGTTACATATTTTTGTCCTTTTGTCTAAGTGTTCTTGGAGCAAGAAGACAGAGAAAACCAGGCAAAGTGAGAGTGACATGATATTGTGGTCCAAATGTAAAGATTGATCAGTGTCATATAATTACTGGTGCAAAGAAGCAATGTGGACACAAAGGGTATAAATCACACACATGTCACACTCTCTGACTGTTTTCTCTCCTGTCATCATGAACAAACCACTGCTCCCTGTCAAAGTATGCTATGTGCAACATATTCATTTGTTCATTCTTTCTGTACACCTCTCCTCCCTCTTTGGAGTTCAATGTTTATTCTTGGTGTGTTGGTTCTGTAGCAAATAGATTTTCTTCTTCAGCAGAGTCCCTGTGTTATATTAGTTAGTATCCCATGTCTGCATTCAGAATTGTGAGACACATACAAGGAAGAGTCAGAGTAATCTATAGATGCAGGAAATTGAGGTTCTGAGGCCTCTTGAGAAGCCTTTTCATATGGGCAGATTCTGACAGTTTGGTAATTCTCCAAGAGGTTGACAAGTTTGGTTTTATTGTTGCTTCTTGCAATATCAAGCAATGTCTTTCCTTCAGTATCCCTGAGTGTTCTATCCCATCCATGGTCAAGCAACAGCCTTACTTTTTCCAGGTCTGGTTCAAAGAAACCAAAATTTGATATTGCAGCATACAGTGCATAAGATGATGATCTAGCACCATGATTTAAAAGGTATCCTGCAATATTAAAGTGACATCTTTTAATAGCCCCATCAAGTGCTGTCCAACCCAGGCCTGAGGATGTCACATTTGTTACAGCAGACATGAGAGCTGGCTTTCTTTCAACAAGGAAAATGACCATATTTAAATGTCCATGGCGGGCTGCAGTATGCAAAGGAGTCCAGCCACTAAATTCTAGACCATCAAGGTCTATTTCTTGATTTATTAAGTAATTCACATTTTCTGCATTTCCAAACATTGCACATTTGTGCAAGAA